GAGGCTGACTGAGCAAGAGGAGACTTGAGGAAGAGGCAGGTGATTAGCTTGGGGGGTGTGATTTATGGGGTGACCTCCACTGGCCTTTCTCCGGCAGGAAATGGGCGGTTTACTAATGCCTCCCCTTCCACGCACCTGCAAAGCCCATTGGTAGTGTTTTAAAATAATTTACTAGATGAAGTTCAATGTTTTCCTTTGGACAGCTGCCCAGAACAGACCTTTTTTTTTTTTTTTTTTTTTAATCAGATTACAATGTTTTCCGTTGTCTCTGTCTCTGTCCCTCTCCCTTTCTCTCTTCCCCTTTCTGGTAAGGGAAGTCAGAGGAATCCAGGACCTTTATTTATGTATTTTCTGAAGCAGGGTCTTTGGTACCCCAGGTCTTACTCAGACTCCGCTCAGAGCCAAAGGATGACTAAACCTCTGACCCTTGAACTCTTGACCCTCCTGCCTCCTCCTCCCGAGGGCTGGATGTATACCGTGTGCCCAGTTTAGGGGGTGCTAGGGATTGAACCTAGGACTTCGTGTATGCTAGGCTAGCACTGTACCAGGTGAGCCGTGTCCTGAGCCCCTGTGATACAGACCTCAAAGCTGAGATAAACCCATTCGGTTTCTCCCCTCTCCCAGGGTGATCATTTGGCAATCCTCCTCTCTTCATGTGTGCACGCGTGCTCTTGTGTATGTGCGTGCTTATGTGTGTGTGTGCATGTGTGTGTATGTTTAAGGGCTTCAGGTAACACATGACCTCTGAAACAGAGGACAACTTTCAAGAGTCCTCTCTTTCTCCTTCTACCATGGGGGTCTTGGGGTTCAAACTCAGGCTGCCTCCCTCCGCTTTCCCTCCTTGGTCCATGAAACATGCAACAACAGCCAGGGGAACCTGACCTGAAGCTGTGACCCAGGTACCCAGTTGTAAGGTCAAAATCCTACTTCTATCTCTGGTTTATCATTAATGTAAACCCCGGTTGTACAAATTCTGGACTGCCTTAGCTTCATAGTATTCCATGTGGTCACTGCAGGCAGTACGGAGTTAGGATGGTCAGGGAAAACTTCAGAGGGCTTAGGTTTCGAAAGACACAACCCATGAGAGCATTTAGGTGTGGTCCATGGGGGGCGGGCAGGTGCTGAACATAGAAGGGCACAGGCCCATGACTGGGCACGGCTTCCTTGAGAGACCCACTGAAAAAAGGGTATCTTCTCCAAGGACCCACAGGTGGAAGGTTCTGGTATCTCATCTCAGGGGTGGGTGGAGGAGACTCAGGATCGGAAGGCATCAGGGCCTGGTGGTCTGTGTCCATTCAGGGCTGCCCTAAGGGAGGAGGGCTGGCCTCTTACTTCTCCTGGAACTAGGCCCTTCCGTGTGTGTGTGTGTGTGTGTGTGTGTGTGTGTGTGTGTGTGTGTATGTTTGGGGGGAGGAGCTAGGCAGCCTGAACAGAGGAGGAAGGACCCAGAAATTGTGGCTGACTAGACCTCAGGATCAGAGCCAAATTCAGAGAGAACCAAATGTAGTGTTTCTCAATCCACAGGGGCAGGGCTTGTAATTCATCCCTCGTTGTAACAATGGCCTCCTGGAACACATCTGAGTCTGACTCATGTTTCCTTCTCATCCTGAAACTTGAGGTCTTGTGTCAGGCCTCAAAGGAGTCTGCTTGGTTAAGACCTAGGCCTGCGGTTTTGAGCAGGAGGTAGCATCTACCCATGGCATGGCGTCTACTCCATGGCGACAGCCCTGATTGTAGGGTGGCAAAGAGAGATTAGAGGGGCAGGAACACTTGTCCTGGGAGTGAATGAGGAGAGAAAATGAGGGGAGGCACTGTTAATTGTATGAGGAGACCCAGGTCTGCCTCCCATCCACTCCCAGGTTTTGAAGGCCAGGTGTAGGGTGGACCCACACATCACTTCCTGTTAGGTGTAGGGCAGACCCACACATCACTTCCTGTTTCCCCTGGGGGCTGCAGATGTGGAAGTGATGTCACCTTTCATCCTCTGCAGTCAGGACCCCACCCACCCCTAAGCACCTCCACCCCCATACTCTATAAGTGATAGTTCTGAGAAGCTCCACATACAGTCACAAACTACGTATGTGTCTATGAGGATTCACATGGTTGGAAGATGATTATACTAGAGGTCTGTTCCGTGCTGCTGGTGTAAACAAACACCCCTGCCTGTTCAAAAGGATTCAATCCTGCTTCAAATTCGCTTCCTATTGTTCTTTTATTTTTATATTTACTATCGTGTGTGTGTGTGTGTGTGTGTGTGTGTGTGTGTGTGCGTGCGCGGTTCCCAAGGAAGCCGGAAGAGGGCTCTTAAATCCCTGGAGTTGTGGATCCAGGCCGGTATGACCTGCTCACGGAGGTGCTGGGATCCAGCCTCCTTTTGGAGCAGTGAGCACTCTGGTCTGCTGAGCCATCTCTCCAGCCCACCTTCTTCTGTCCTTAACACTTCTAGGTCAGGCTGCTTGCTTGAGGTCTGTTTTCCTGCCATTTGGATGAACTCTTGAGAGAGGAACCATTGCTTGGTTTTCTTTACTAGAGTACTTCTGGCTATATGGCAATCGTATAATCATCCAAGGAGGTTTTGTTTTATTTTTTTTGCATTTTTCAAAGACTTTTCTTTATTATTCTCTTTTGAGACACAGTCAGAATTTTATTTATTATTTTGTCTTTTGAGACCCAGTCTTCTGTATCTGAGGCTGACCTTGGACTTGCCGTGTAGTCAAGGACAGTTTTCCTTTTTCTTTTTAGATTCATGTGTTTTATCTGCATGTTTGTATGAGGGCCTGGTGGCGTCGGGGATCAGAAGAGGGTATTGGATCTTCTAGAATAGAGTTACGGATGGTTGTGAGCTGTGATGCGGGAGTCGGGAACAGACTTCGGGTCCTCTGCAAGAACAAGTGCTCTGGACTGCTGAGCTCCTCTCCAGGGTGATGTTAACACCTGCTCTGCCTGGGACTACAGGCAGTGCCAACACACTCGGCTTAAGACCAAGGGCCTCACCTGTGCTAGGTAAGCACGTTACCAGCTGAGCTGTATCCTCGGTTGCCAGGTGGTTGAGAATTGTCACATCTCTACCTAAGGCCAGAGACAAACTCAGATCTCCCTAACCCCTTTTCCTTCCTTAAATTTTTCATTTTTGAGAATTCCATAGTTGTACACACAGCTCTTATTTTATCGAGTTCCTCATTTTACAAGCTGCTAGTTATGAGGGAGGCACCATCCCCGGGGACCTTCAAGCCCTCTCATATCTGATTGGCTGCCTCATGTTGCCAGGTGTGTTGGATAGTTCTATGTCAACTTGACACAGACTAGAGACTCACTGGAGAGGAAGGAACCTCAATGGAGAAAATGCTGCCAAAAGATCTGGGTGTGAGGCATTTTCTCAATTAGTGATTGATGGGAGAGGTACAGACCATAGTAGGTGGAGCCATCCAGGGAGAGCGGTCTGGGGTTCTATAATAAAGCAGACTGAGCAAGCCATAGAGAGCAAGCCAGTGAGCAGCACCCCCATGGCCTCTGCATCCTGGTGTGGGAGGTCCTTCTGTCTGTGTGTTGCTTTTATTGGTTAATGAATAAAGAACTGGATTGGCCTATAGTACGGGAGGAGGAAGGTGGAGTTAGAGAGAAGCCATGGAGCTGCCGGAGACAGACGTGCTGAAACTTTGCTGGTAGGCCACGACCTCGTGACCTCGTAGTGATGCACAGATTACTTGAAATGGGTTAAATTACAATGTAAGAGTTAGGCAATAAGAAGTTAGAGCTAATGGGCCAAGCAGTGTTTTAATTAATACAGTTTCTGTGTGATTATTTCGGGTCTAAGCTAGCTGGGTGGCTGGGAACCAACAAGCAGCCTCTCCTAACAGCATCCTGCCTCCAGGTTCCTGCCGTGCTTGAGTTCCTGTCCTGACTTCCTTCATCCATGGACTACAGTGCGGAGTGTAAGGCGAATAAACCGTCTCCTCCCCAACCTGCTTTCCATCATGGTGTTTCATCACAGCGGTAGAAACCCGGAGACCCCAGAAACCCTGTGAGGCTTCAATGACAGAGCAGATTGTGGGTGGGACTGACTGCAGGAGACAAAAGAGATTCCTCAGCTCCACCTGCCCCTGGGGGCCTCCCAACATTTGGGAACCCGAGGGTCTAGGGAGCCCTGCAAAGTCAAGGCAGAGCCTGGTGTCAGAGAGTGTGGTTAACTTTGGTTGTAACATGACAGGTTCTAGAACAGTGATTCTCAGCCTGTGGGTCGCCACCCCTATGAGGCCGCGTGACAGGTATTTACATTAGGTTTTATAATGGCTGCAAAATCACAGTTATGAAGTGGGAACAGATGGTGCTATGGTCAGGGCCAGCGCAGCATGAGGACCTGGATTAAAGGGTCGCAGCATCAGGAAGGCTGGGAACCAAGAACAGGCAGAAAGTCAGAGAGCGCCAGCATTCCTCACTCACCGCTTCCAGACCGTGGACTCCATGTGACCGGCTGCCTCATGTTCCTGCCGCCATGACGACTGAACCCTCAGACTGTAGCCACAACAAACACTTATTCCCCTGAGCTGCAGCTTCCTGCTTTTGGTCCTGTGTCCCCGCCCCCAGGATGGTGTTTCCTACCTTGGGTTGTTTTTCCTTCCTCCCTTAACCAGTCTCCAAAGTTCCTCACAGACACACCAGGTAACTAACCCAGATGATTCTAGATGGTTCTCAACCTTCCTAATACTGTGTCCCTCTGATCTCTGGACTTCCAGGGCTTCTGTGATGTCCTGGGGGCACAGCAATCGGCTTTCTCAGATTTTCCCATCATGCACTAGTGGATGCTAGTGCTTTAATGTCAGGCTCAGGGGTCCTCATCCTTAGGGCTGCTGCCCAACCAGGATACTCAAAATTCCTAGGGCTTTGGTGAGCTTTTCTACCCCTGAAGAAGCAGCACCCACTGCCATACACCTCAGAACCACCTCCGAGGGGCTTGTTCCCACGTCACAAACCGACCCCATGGGCCAAGCTTCCAAGCCAGTCTTTATTGAGCTCTCATTAAACCACCCACATAAATACATATAATAAATACAAAAACAGTACTTTTTAGAAGTCTTTGCTTTGAAGAGCACCCTGCCCAGGGTTCTGGGCTCACTTCCCCCATATGCATGGGTCTCTGCCTCCTCCCTGCATCTGTCAGTGGTCCCTTGGGGGCCATCAGCCCTGGCAGAGGCCTGGGAAGGAATTCATACGTAGTCATTCAACCTGTACCCACTGTGCGAGGCTGAGGTCACCGAGGGGGCACGGTTGTCCTTGTAGGCTGCTGGTGGGTGGTAGGCAGGGGCGGTGGCTGTGGTGGTGGCCCCAACTCTGGGTTGGGCCTGGTAGGGCCTGTAGGGAGACTCATCCTGGCAGGACAAACAGAGCAGGGTGCCCCCAATGAGGGACAGAGACGAGGAGATGAAACCCAGGTACAGGGCCTGGCCGATCTCGAACTTCATGCCACTGGGCAGCAGCGGGTTGTAGAAATTCTGTACCACGTCGTTGGTGGTCCAGGACACGGCCACCATGCACAGCAGGCCGGCCAGCAGGAAGAACGCGCCCCCCAGCACCGCGAAGGTGGTCTTGGCGGGTGTGCCCTTGGCACAACGAGTGCACTTCATGCCCACCACAGCAAAGGCGGAGGCCATGCCCGACAGCAGGCAGGAGATGACCATGAGCGCCCGCGCCGCCTGCAGGTCCCGGGGCAGTGCCAGCAGCGACCGGTAGATCTGGCACTGGTAGATGCCCGTGCTGTGCCACACACACTCCATCCACAGCCCCTTCAGGTAGGACACGGCAGTCAGGATGTTGGTGCCCACGTGGGCTGTCCTCCGCCAGTGCGGCAGGATGGTGGTGATAAGCGTTCCCACCATGCCCAGGAAACTAAGCAGGAAGCCCAGAAGCTGGACGGCTGTGCTGGCCATGGCCAAGGGCTCCGCTAGCCGCGCCAGGCAGCGCCCGGGTCCCTAGGGCTGGGTCTGTTCCTTAGGTGCCCACAGGTGGCCTAATAAAGCAAAAGGGAGGGTGAGAAAAGGGAACTGGGTTAAATATTATCTTGATGCATTTATTTCTGCAACCGAAACGCTTTTCCATAGGCAGTTGGTATGATAATTTACATATCCTAAAAATAAAATGGTTTGGGGGACTTCATAGGGTGGAAGGGCAGAGCTGGAAGAGAGATGCAGGTCCCTGCAGCCTGTGCTTCCTGGAGCCCCCAGGGGACCGCACGTCAAAGCCCCCATTCTGAATGTCTCCTGGGTCCTACTCATGGGAAGCAGGTGGAGGAAGTTCTGCTTTTTATCTGACCTCAGCCTTTTCTGTTACACCTGAGCCTTCCTTCTGTTTGGTCAGTAATTAGTAATAATAAATGTTATCCACGCAGCTTGGGCTGACTGGCAACGTGTTAAGGTGTGTGTACCAATTGTGACTTAGAGAACAGTCTGGGGAGGCTGGGTCTCTGAAGGGGTGACTTTCTCAGGCACCTCAGAGGCTGCTTTGGAATTCAGAGCTAATGTGACATTAAGACTGCTGGCTCCTGCCCAGGGACAGGGTTGTGCCCAGGGACAGGGTTGTGCCCAGGGACAGGGTTTCCAGGTGGCCAGGTGCTTAGGGCCCAGCTCGGCTTTGCTAGCTGCAAAGGTACCCCAGGATGGGGAACTCCTCAAGCCCATCAGGTCAGTCCCCAGCTGTCCCAGGCGGCCACGGTCTGCAGAGTGGAAGATCCAGTACAATACTGGGCTTCCTGGCTGACCCCTGACCCTGACCTTGTCCAGCCTTTCCTTGTGAAGGTTACCAGTTAAGGTAAGGCTTGCCTGCCTGCAAGGCTTGGTGAGTGGACCAGTCTCCAGAGGTCTAAGCGTGTATTTATGGAAAGCAAGGAGGGCTAATTTTAGAAATCATTAGGTGCTATTTTTAATTTAAGGATTTTCTAATTTAAGAAGTGTTAATGAGCCCCCTACCCCACCTCCAGCTCCCCCCACCTTCCCATAGCAGCAGCAGGTGCTGCTGGCATCAAGCGATCCTTCCCAGCCTTGCTTCTCACTTCAAGGCTGTTCATTCGGTAGAGAACATATTAACTGAACGTCTCCTAGGAAACCGCGTGACTCTCCTCCAGCTGCTGAGGAAAGCTCGGCCCTGCACTACTGTTTGCATTGGAAAGGCCCTGCCTCGTGCTGGAGCTGTGTGGGATTGGCCTGTTCAGGGTTGACTTTGGAGTCCCCTGTGGGCTACTGTTTTCCCCTCAGGCATATGTACGCCTGTGGAAGCATTTGCAAGAGAGATGCGGGGCCAAGACAAAGGGTGTAAAAGTCCTCAGTGGGCCAGGTGGGCAGAGTGGCATCTGACAGGGTGAAGGCCTTAGGTGTTGCACAGGTGCTCTGTGTGTGTACGTGTGTGTGTGTGCATTCATGCATGAATGTGTGTGCACATGAGTTGGTGTGTGTGTGTACATGCACATGTATGTGAGTATGCATTCATGCATGTGTGTGAGTGTACATTCATGCATGAGTGTGTGTGCATGAGTGTGTGTGTGAGCATGTGCATGCACATGTGTGAGTGTGCATTTATGCATGAGTGTGTGTGTGTGTTCGTTTCAGGGGCTTCCCTGCACCCTAAAGTGTTTCAGAGACTGTCGTTACAGCTCCATACTTCCTGTAACTTTAAGTTACCTGATAGCCTTGTAGGCATTGATGGTTAAATTGACAGGACTTTCTGTGTCACTGACAGTCTCTCACGAGGTCTGTGACAATCACAGGTAACTAGCACTAAATGGCTTGATAGCATCTGCTGTGCGCATTCAGGACACCAGCGGGAGATGTCTCCCACCAAGTCACACAGAAACGACACCTTGTTTCTGAGTCCCACGTCTGTACACCTTAGTAAAGAAAACTTTTCTAAACAAGAGAGCTTGTGTTGGTGAGACATAAACCCTGATTTGCGGTGCAGGGCCTCAAAGGTCATTTCTGCTTCGGTAAGTTGCAGGAGCCTGCGGATTTGGTGTCAAACACTGAAAGTCACCTGGATTGCAGGATTTCTAAGCCTTTCCCAGGAGGCATCATCTCATGATTCAAATTCATTCTCTCTCTCTCTCTCTCTCTCTCTCTCTCTCTCTTTCTCTCTGACAGGGTTTCTCTCTGTAGCTTTGGAGCCTGTCTTGGAACTCTCTCTGTAGACCAGGCTGGTCTCAAACTCGTAGAGATCCGCCTGCCTCTGCCTCCTGAGTGCTGGGATTAAAGGCGTGCGCCACCACCACCCAGCAATTTCTTTACAAATACAGATGATTCGGACTGGCAAGCTGGTTCAGTGGGTAAATGCTTACTGCCAAGGCAGATGGACCAGAGTTCTATCCCTGGAATCTAAATGGTGGAGCTCCTTCAAGTTGTCCCTTCCTCTCTCTCTGTTCCCTCCCCACATACATGCAATACATACATGCACATACACACATGCATGCATAACACACTAAATGAATAATTTTTAAGGATGCAGATCATAAATATTTTAAGAGGAAATAACTGAATTTCAGTTTAAAAAAAGCCCTCAGTGTTTTCAAAGCTGTTTTTTCCTAATTGTATAGATCTGTTAGGATATTTTTTATTTTTCAAAAGCCTGCCTTACAAGGGCAAAATATAAGAACAAAGAAAGCTAAAAGAAAAGGTGTACATCCCACTGAGCAATACAAGGCATTTTTTTAAGTGTTAAATGATTATTAAATAGAAATAGCTGGTATTTTTATGTGTGGTGGGGAAAGATTTCTATAGAGACCGTTATGGGTTGATCTGTAGCTACCAAAATAGCTACACTGACGTTCCAGGACCTCAGAATGTCACCTTCTTTGGAAACAGGGTAATTACACAGGTGGATGAGGACCTGCTGGAGGAGGCTGGGCCCCTGAGCCAGCAGATTAGTGTCTTTACGAGAAGATAGAAGACATTGTGCGGAGACCGAGGTGGAGTTTGGAGGATGTGTCTAGAAGCCCAGAACCTTCCAGATCCAGCGTCTGCTGGGAGCTAGGAGAGAGCCATGGGGCAGGCTGCCCCCACAGCTATCAGGAGCACCCCTGAGGAGCCCAGGCCCCAAACAAACATCCCCAGCTCCTCCTGCCTCCCCCAGCACTGTCTGCTTAGCTTAGGAAGTTAGACAGAAGCACACCCGAGTCTGGATACAGGAGTTAGGCAGAAGCACACCGAGTCTGGATACAGGAGTTAGGCAGAAGCACACCCGAGTCTGGATACAGGAGTTAGAAAGAAGCACACCGAGTCTGGATACAGGAGTTAGAAAGAAGCACACCCGAGTCTGGATACAGGAGTTAGAAAGAAGCACACCGAGTCTGGATACAGGAGTTAGGCAGAAGCACACCGAGTCTGGATACAGGAGTTAGAAGCACACCGAGTCTGGATACAGGAGTTAGGCAGAAGCACACCCGAGTCTGGATACAGGAGTTAGGCAGAAGCACACCGAGTCTGGATACAGGAGTTAGGCAGAAGCACACCGAGTCTGGATACAGGAGTTAGGCAGAAGCACACCCGAGTCTGAAGATAGGTGTGAGTCTCCCAAGCAGAGCGCTGAACTCGGGTGGCTTCGTGTTTGTCACGACGACAATCAAAGCGGCGTCTACTGTCATGTCCCCAAACGTAGACAGGAGATGAGGAGAAAGATCTGGAAACTCTGTAGATGTGAAGTTCAAGGGCAAGCCCTGTCTACGTGGCCACGCAGGGATCAAATGACTGGTTTTCTCTACTTTAATAATAATAATTTAACCTACAAAGACGTTGGTGCTCTGCTTTTGGCCTGCGCCCAACTTCTTGCTGCCCTTTTTAGGTTGGTTGTCTGTTTTTCTTTCTCCTCTCTTAAAAAAAAAACTTAATTATTTATTATGTGTATGTATGTGTGCCTGCACACGCACGCATGTACACGCATGCCTGCGCACATACACACACACACATACACACGGTGCCCATGCAGGCAAGAGGGGGTCGAGTCCCTTAGAGCTGGAGTTTCAGTGTGAGCTGCCTGGGGCGGGTACAGGAGTCATCTGTAAGCAGTGGGTGCTCTTAACCGGTAAGCCATCTCTCCAGTCCCCACCCCCAACCTTTCCAACAGTGTCTGAATTACTGTCATTTTTTCTTAAATCAACATGTCTGGGTTTCATAGATCATAAAAACCCAAATTTGGGGTGTGGGCCAGGTGTGGGTAAGGTGACTCGGTGGGTGCCCTGGCTTTACCTTGGGAGTGTAACAGAGCTCAGCAGGGGCTTTAGTTAGGACCTACGTCAAGACAGACAGACAGCTGGGTGGGAGGGAGGAGGGGGAAGAGAAAACCCCAAACTAAGCCACAGGAGGCTGTCACGGCCGGTCGGAAACCTCCAGGAGTAAGACAACACAGCTGGCCTCTGAGTTTTGCGAACCTCTGGAAGCTACTCATCTGAGCGTGGAACTGGGACATATGGCTGCAGTTTCGAATGGGGTGCCAAGTGGGAACGCGAAACAAGGGTTTACTGATGTCAAATAAAATATCGAGCACATTGTTTCAGTCTCATTCTCTGAGATTGCACCTTGAGCCCAGGCCAGTTTCTCCTCAGGTGCCGAGCATTCGTGGTACTGGGACCTGTTGTTGCTGGTGCTTCCACTGATGGTGAATTCGTAGCCAAATCTACCGCGTGTGTTTTGTTATTTCATTTAAGGGCAGGAAAGCTGACATTTAAAGTCAAGTGTCTGGGCTGTGACACTTGGGTGAGAGATATTGGGGACCGGAAGGGCGTGGAGGTGACCAGGTGGGGTCTTAGAAAAGGCAAGGCTGACAGGGAGAGACAGGTATTGAGAATGATGGCCTTGGGCACCCGGACAATGGATAGGGAAGACAGATGGGACGATGAGGATTGTGGCGGTGACGTTAGCTCTCTGGATGTCGGGATGTCTGGTCCAGTGTTGTCATTTGTGCCCTCGGTATAGTGTTCAGTAGGGAGTTCTTTCTTCTCTCTCTCTCTCTCTCTCTCTCTCCCTCCCTTCC